GTGTTCCACTCTTTTACAGATTATCCTTATGGCTTTGCCTGTTTGTGTATGCCTTTAGACTTAGATTTAATTGCCATTAAATTGTAATAAATAAATAAACATAAAATAGAAATTTCTGGTTACTTCCAGTTCATCTTTACTGCACTGGCAGGCCTCTATATCTCGGATTAATTTTAGTTGGGAAAATCAAATTAAATTTTAACGATTATTTAGTGATCGTAGAAAATGACCAATTAGCCTAAACCAATCGATTTCATTTAATTATTAAACTTGACCTTCGCTGAATGATACTGGGTGCCCAAGTAAACTTAACCTTTGTATAAGCTTACATATTTTCCGGCCTTTTCCATAAGTTTTCTGTTCTCTACTAGTTCATCATCGTTTTGAGAGTTCTTAAGTTAACTGAAATAGCTATGTTACGCCGTAAACTATCAAACCAAAGAGGAAAGAACAAAAGAGTAATTGTCAAATTTTTGTCTTACGTCTTCAACATTTCCCGTGCCACGATCCTTCCAACAGAAGTGCATCAACGAGTCTTCACTCTGATAAATGTACACCAATCCTTTCCTTTTATCTGGTGTAACAGTTGTACCGCTCAATGACATCTTTCCAGCGCGAAATTCGACGAGATTTTTCGACGAAGACCTGCCAGCATGGCCGAAAAGTCCGCTCGACATCTTGAATCGAGAAGTATGAGTCAGCTTCGCGCACCGTTGAGACTGGAACCGAACATCAGCGACCGCGTCAGGTCCGCGTCTAAAATGGCGGCTGTTAACGGTGAAAACGTGGTCGAAGAAACGAAGGCAAAAGCTAAAGTTTGGACGCAAGATCAGGAGCTGAAGCTATTGCAAAATGTGGAAAATCACTTGCAAAATTCTGAAAGAGTGAAAGATATTTACGTTAAGGACATCGTGTGGAGTAAAATTGCGTTTGAAGACTTTGACGAACATGATGTCCATAAACGTTGGAATGCCTTAACCTCCAAGATTCGTAAAATGAGAACAGCAAAAGAGATTTTAGAGGATGCTAAAATAAAGGTAGCTGACAAGGAGGATGACGTGAAGTCCAGGAAGAGGAAAAGAGACGACAAAGATCCCGCTTTCCCGAAAACGCCGCTCACCTCTTACCTCATCTTTTGTGAGGAGAAGCGGCCTCGTTTAGCCCAGCAATACGCAAACCTCAGCAGTAAAGAACTGACGACAAAATTAGCCAAGAAATGGCAAAAGCTCAGTGACCAGAAGAAACAAAAATATCAGGATATTTACTGGGAAAATAGGAAGAAATTTGATCACGACATCACACAGTATTTTATTGAGCACTATCCAGATGAAAAGCCACCGAAAACAGCGTTTGAGCTCTGGTCTGAGAGCAAGGAAAAAGAGATGAAGAAAGATCGACCGGATATGTCTCAGAAGAAGTTAAATAAGAAAATAAAGAAATATTGGGAGAAACTAGAAGAGAGCGAAAAAGAAAAATGGGAAAAGAAAGCAAAGCGTGAGGTAACAAGGTATATTAAAAAAATGAAAAAGAAGGTATAAGATTTAAAAAAAAAAAGTGAAAGAAGGGTATCCGCCGGTTTCACTATCTGTCGAGTCCAGTACGTTCGACTTCGCTACATGTTCACTACCCACAACTTCCAGCTCACTGCCTATTTAGTTTGCATTGTTTATTATCAATAAAACTAAAACTTTGTGAAACAAAAATAAAATGTATAGACCTAAGACCTCACACACATATGGATTATTCCTCTTTCTCTCATCCACTGCCAAGCCAAACTTGGTTAGTTGAGGTAGTGAACTCGACTGGTGGATAGCAAACATGTAGCAAACTCAAACCTTGCGAACTTGGCAGGTAGCAAAACCTGTGTAAATCGATAGAAGGAAGAGATGACTATATGTCACCAAAGGCTGTCCAGACTTTGCATACATTCCAGGTGATATTGTGATTTTGGGAAAATACACAAAAATTGCTCTATTGAAATGTTATGTTTTGAAATGATCTTAATAATTTTGACTTATCTTTTGTCTGTCTTGTTTTAATTTAATGTTTCTTTATTCCTGGAGCCAGGTTAAAGCCATTTAGGAGACTTACGCTGTCTGGGATTTTGCTCCGTAATCTGGCTTTAGGAACAGTGAAATGTTAATATTATGCTGTAAATTATGTCAGACATACAGTAAGTCACATCTAGAGAAACTCTTTTTGAAATATATAGCATTTAGGGCAATTGTTGTGAATTTTCATACATTGTCTAAAATGGCTGATCTAAACACAGGGGGCCCACACAAGCGGTGTGTCTGTTTGTATGTTCAAAATATAAAGAAATGTATGGGAATATTGAAGATTCTTAATATCATAAACTTATATCAAGTAATGTCTATATTAAAGCTCAATATAAACGTAAACCTATCTCAGTTGATAAGTTAATAAAGATGGTGAATTTTAAGCTCAGTAATGAAATGTGAAGGTGAATTAATCAACATGACACGA